CTCCCTATGTATATATGTGCCCACATATACATGTAAATTGGTAAACACAGTAGGATGTGATGTAATCATTTGTGCAAGTCTGAGGTTTGTGGTGAAGCCGGTGTTTTGTCATCTCAACAATGATAAGCTGACCTGCATAGTATGTTTCACTGATAACAGATTTTAATCTCTGTTTCAATATCATACTGTTTGTTTCCCATCTGTATGGTACTTTAAGAAATATGCTTTTCTTCGGGACCGAGGAAACTATAGGCTTTGGAGTCAACTGTTTTTTTTACAATGGTTGACAAACTGTAATGGATAACCGTTTTCCATTAGAGAGTCTGCCAGAAACTTATTCTCATCATCCATCGTATCACATGTACAAATATGTTGGATTCTACTGAACAAGCATCTTACCAAGCCTTTCTTATATTTCATCGGACAAAAACTATAGGAATTCAAATACTGTCCTGTCCAAGTAGGCTTCCTATATATTGATCGTCTTATAGATCCATCTTCCCTCCAGGCACAAGAGTATATCAAGAAATGCAAGTTGATGGTCTTTTTCTTCCTCACATGTCAGACTGATATGATCTTGTACGGTATTAAGCTTTTTTTAACAAACTCTTGGCATCCTCATCTGTGTCACATATTACAAAGATATCATCCACATACCTTCTATAGAATGTGAAATTGGTGATTAAATCTTGAGCCATTAGTTCAGTATGTGTATTGCGCAAATACACATCACATTACTCAGATAATCTTCGTCTTCTAATAGAGTTATCGAAATTTATTAAAGGGACTAATTGTTTCTAAACCACTTTTGTTGTTAGTCAATACATTGGTAAGTGTTGTAACCAATTGTTTCATAGATTTAACCCCGATGATTAGTTTATGGCACTAGAGAAAACTATGCAAGCGAAAACAATAAAACCATGAAGTCTGTAAACTACTTTTAATGTAAATTGAGGAAATTTGTATACGGTTAACCCTTCGATAAACCTATTTATACATCCTTGATAGTTTCTATATAATATTATACGGGTAGATTTCGACTTTGCTGATGATGATTTATGTCTAAAGTCGCACGAACTTGAAGATCTACAGGCAGAAACCAACAAGTTGGCAGAAGAGGCAGGGCAGAGAAGACGGCACTTCCTTCAGGTGAACGTAGAGAAGACGGAGGTTATGAAGATACCCAACCAACCAACCAACCAACAACAACAACAATAAGCACCAATCACCAGCAACGGAACATACCTAAAGGAAGTTGTCTCTTTCACCTACCTACATAGGCAGCATCGTTTCAACTACAGGCGGCGACACAGGCACAGATGAGGATGTCAAAGCCAGGGAGGATCGGAAAAACACCAAGACAGGACTGCATTAGCTTGAAATCAGTTCACTGCACTCAGTATGTGGAATAAGATGTGGGACTTTCAACACTAAGTCAGTCAAGTAAGTCGGTGCTTGCCTCTATATAGTGGTTCACAGACTGGGCACGTTACGAAAAGCATTTTCAACAAACTACAGACATAAATCATCAACAGCTACCACCTATGCTTGCTCGATACTGACACTGAATATCAGATGGCCAGAATAATTAGAATAAGAAATAAGGAACTCACTCTGACTGGCAACGAACCAACCAACCAAGGAGCTATCGCCCAACAAATATGCAGAGGAATAAAGTGGAGATGGATTGAATTGTACATACACCACTGAGAAGACGGTTTGAGGACATCATGTTCCAGGCCGTCGAGTGGGACTCGAATGAGAAAACATGAGTTGGGATGTTTCATCATGGTAGTGCGTATACCGAACCCAGGACTTTTGGACTACCTGGAGAGCATGCTACCATCAAATTATGGAATGGGAACTCAACGGTATAAATTCTCGTATTTCTTCTGAAGTCATTTAACGGAAAATCGTAGTAAGAGACTGTGCAAATCGTATGATTATTGAAAATCATTGAAGTTAGTTACCGTAAGAAGTTTTTCTCTCGAAAGAAATACCGAAAAGCTTTCAAGTCGCAAACATCTATCTACGACGTATTGGGTAAGCGTATGATATCGCTTGATGTTTGTTCTTTATTTACTAATATTCCACTTGTTGAAACCGTTTGTTATCTATGTGATTACATTGATTCTAATAATATTAACATTGAATTACCTACAAGCCAGTTGTCTTTTTCTGTGTAATTTCTGCTTGTTTCGTTTTAATGTGCATTACACGTAAACTGTTTCTGATCAACTGATGCTATATGATAGCATGCTGAAAATTCTATAAGTATTCCAGAAATACCTTTCAAAATAAAGCCATTATTATTATTATTGCACAATACATGTGCACTACCAGTGTCACACATACACACTCCATCTATTCTAAAATTTACGTTAACATCAAAGAGGAATTCTCATCATCAGGAAATATATTACGAATTAATGAATAAATGACATTGATATATGTGTTTCTGCCTACATAACTGTCATATTTTTGTATACATGTGGTCTTGGTAGAGTAATTTTTCTTTACAATTTAACTATCCAAATTACCGATTTCGATTAATCTGTGCTTGAATTATACTCATAAAGTACACCAACGACTAGATATCATGAATGAAATGTGACTGTTACGTGCTAGATTCCACTTTACACCATTTAGTATGAAGGATTTCCATTTTCATCATTCCTAATTACTTTCGCTATCCATGTACTAATAGACATAACCTTGAGTATGTATGACTTCACAGGGATACATTCTGTTCGCTGGAGGGCAATCTGATTGACGATATTGTCCTGTTGGATAGGGATGTTGAAAAAAATGCAAGTAATTCTAAACGTGCTGAACAGAAACCCGAGTACATTTGGAGTGCATTTTAGCATCTGTGAAATGCAAGATAATACTTCAGGCATGGTCCGTAACTAATCCCAGTTTAATGATACGAAGTGAAGTGATGGAATATGTCAATCTTTTCACTTACTTAGGAAGTCTCATCAGCCCGAAAAGACTGGTTTCTGACGAGATCTCATCTTGGGATACAGAAGGCTCCTTTGGCATTCACCAGCTTGCATTATTTAAGGCACAAACTGGAGAGATATTGGACTATCTATCAAAGGTTGGGTACACTGTGCTGCATTCCGTTTTGTCCTGTTCCACGGCTATGAGATATAGCCTTTGTAAGTAGAAGACATAAAGCGGTCGAAAGGTTTCGATCATAGGCGCTTTCGTAGCATTGCTCGCGTAGGGTGAAGATCAGGCAAAGGTTACTACGCAAGCTAGGGAAGTGGACTGATAACCTTCAGTGACTGAGATGGCTTTGACATGTGCTGCACATACTGAGCCATCACCTACCTCAATGTGCAAAGCTACGGGAAGCTGGATTAGGTTGGCAAAGGGCTCAAGAAGACCGGACTAAGACGTTGCATTAGTTCATGAAGTCCCTAACTGTTGATCAGAGCCGTGTGGGGAGGTATAGACTACCTGGCTGGTGTCTCGGAGGTGATAGAAGTCAGTGATTGAGAACACCTATTGAAAGTGCTGAAAATTGATGATAGCAATGTAGAATTATCCACTTTTTTTAAATTTTTCTCCAACGCTAACACTTTTGTCTACTTTTACTTTACTCTTTTTCGATTCATTTGTTCTTTGAATGCAACTGTACCAACTTGAAGCAATACATTTCTCTAAAGTTCTACACTGAGTTTTCTGTCTTTCGTAGGATTAAAAAAAACAGGATTCATCGCCATGCACACACACACATACATGTTTCAGTGATATGCCAAAATTTTAACTTAAATGTACTGTGTAAGAGTAAAGTCCTATACCAGTATAGTGTTAAAAAGAAGCATCTCATTACTATGAGTTACATAATGGAGGAAGAATTTTTTGAAAGTTTTTATAATCAGCTTATATTTCGGTCCTGTTACATACGCTTTCCCCAAGTGTATGAATAATCCCTTTCTACAAGGGGTGAAGAAGACACTAGTAGTAATGATTAATGTTAAATGAATCGATAGTAGCTAGCTGGATTTTATATATCATTGCATGCATACAAGATATTGATTCCTTTCGGTTGTTTACATCATGGAACTTCATTTCTTCTTTAACAGTATGACAGTTAATTATATTTTTGCTCGCTAAATTCAACAACATTGATAATTGATATCTCCTGTTGTTATACCAGGGTTAAACTACCTGACCTCTGTTGGCAGATGGGTTCCTTTGAGGATGCCCCAGTGAAATCCTAGTGGAGAATGCTTTGGCATTGGTACTGGATTTCAGACTTAGTGGGAACCATATCAAATACTGGGGTGCAGGTACATCCAGCTAACGAGTTCCAAGTAGGACGAAACGTGCATCCTGCCCGTTTAGATATTTATCCAGAGAAACTATTTATATCTCTATGCATCATGTATTTTGTCTCGAGCTGTTGTACCAGTGAGGCAATATCATCAATTTGGATTCCACTGAGATACTTGTATATATGACATACACCTTAATAACATTTAAACTAAATGCACTGAACCACATTGTGAACATCTGTGCAATAAACAGTGAGCCACATCTATTGTGTGTATGGTTTAGTGGTTCTGTGTGGCCGCTCAAACCTAGGCAGATGGAACGGGAGTAGAGCGCATAGCGTAATAATGGTTGGATAGCCTTTTTTGTGAACCACAATTTCCACCCTTGTTCACGTCTGAATGAGTAAGCAGTCAATGAATATATCTAATTCATGATACAATCCAAATTTTTTTTCTTCATCTCTAAGGATATCCTGTTGCACAGACATGAGTAATTTAAAAGAGGACTACAACTAGCTGGCAGATGGTATCCACTTCTACAATGGTACAACACATATATAAAGCTGGAGTCTTTGAAGTGGTGAAAAATCACTTCTAGTTTTTCATAACTTCCAGTTTCTTCTTCAATCTGCTTTTCTTATGAAAAAAACAACTTATCCCTAGGAGAATAATTCAACATTGATTCTTTTTTCATTTTTACTAATAACTTACCTGATCAGTACACCAATACCATATAGATGCAGGTGTTTGACCAAGTAGAAATCCAAGCCATGGCATATCAGGATCATCAATTTCACGTAATAATGTAAAAGCCTTTGAAGAAGGTAAACTACATTTCAGATTTGATGGAACCTCTGGTAAATCTGCTAATTCTGTAAGTGAGATTGTTTTTTTAGTTGCGTTCAATGCATTGGCTAAACTGATAATTAGATTAGAGCTTTCAATGGAAGATATATTTATCTGTGCTATAGCTTGACCATAAGAAGATAGGATACCCGGGAAGCCACCAACACGTAGATAGCCTAAAAATTAATGGAAATAATCAACTTGAAGAAAGGTTTAAAGAATCAATACATTGGCTTTATTGCCATTGATTTTCAACCATTGATTCCTATTATCTCCAGGAATGCTATACTACGACAAGATAGTTGTTAAATACTCTTGGAACTCATATCGATTCATACTTTCAAATCAGCATATGTCTATAAATTATCAGTCGAATAATAACAGGGTTTTTTAGTTGCGATCAGAAACCTCCATTATATGTTGCATTTATTATCCCGTTGTTGTATGGACAGAATTGATCGGTGTCGATTGGCATATGAGCTCATGCGTGGATGGCTCGATACCATCTATGTATTGATGATGGATAGTGGGCTAGCAGTGGAATCCAGCTTGACACGTATTTCGTCCTGGTTGGGACTTGTCAATTGGATGTACCTGCTTGTCAGTGAGTGACGTGAGTGTCCCAACTAGAAGTGGAACTTGGGACCAATTGTTTCAAAAGCCACTGCATTATCCACTGGGAGGCAGGTACATCCAGCTGACAAATCCCAACTAGGAGGAAACGTACGTCAAGTTGGATTCCACTGATAGCCATTGTTCATGATTAATATATGGTGCTTAGGGTAGATAAAATTTCACAAAAATTATCCAAATATACCCATTTACTCACAAAAAAAAAGAAGAAAAAGATTGGTGGTGGTGGTGGTGGTGGTGGATTGATTCGAGTAGAAGAAGTAGAAAAAATGCTCCCCATTGTATGTTTAAGGAATGAACTGATTTCAAGCGGTAACATAAGCGTCTAAAGGGTTATCAAAGAAGGATAAAATCATGCCAATTAAATAAAATTGACAAACTAATCATATTAGAGGAAAAAAAAGGTTTTCAGGAGGCAGCTTGTTTGAGTGTTTAGTTTTTAGCTTTTGTTCTATTCTCCAACGCCTTTCTGAAGTATCCGCATACAATAGAGTCCAATATACAGTCATCTCCACAAAAAGCATATAAATTTAAAGGTATGCATATTGTAGAATATTTCTCGTTGAAATTTGATAATTCATACCAGTATCATTATTGAAATAGTAGAATTTAAAGCCTTTTTCATCACAGTGGTTCTTTTGTCTCAGTAAAATATTTAATCAGTAAGGTTTATGTAATATCTACTTTTCTTCAAGATAGAATCAATTTAGATCTTATGTCACACTGTGATCGAATTTAATTTCATCTTTGAAGTTGTTTCTTCACCTTCTTTATATCCATCCATCTATCAAAATAGACACTCAATATTTGCGTTTCTTATCTACCAATCATTTTCATCTTGTTAAACTCCCTGCCTTTCTTGATATTTCTACTACTTGTCTAATAGATTATTACGCAACTACTCTGTATTATTCATTCCAGTTTGTGTTTTTTTAGCACTAAGTTAATGATGTTATATGTTTATGATACGATTGTATAGCTTTAGAAAAAGGATATCGTCGAAAAAAAAACAAAACAATTTTTCTTCACTGAATTATCTCTTCTTTAAGTTGTTTATTTGATATATATAAGTCACAGTATGATAGAGTATTGTTTACTTGATGATAATGTTTCGACCAGAAACTACCATTCCTCATCATCATATCAATGTATAATGATACTCCTTTCAGTGATGGAGTTTTATAGTCCTAACACTTCATATTCTTTGTTTCTATTCGCAGTATGAATGAATATTAAATCCTATTAAGAACCGTTCAAATAATTGCCTAGTAAATTCTTATGAGTTAAAACAAACACCTTATAACCTACATATAGAAGAGGATGAAAAAAGTCTTTCTACTAAAATACCAATCAATATAGAAGTGAAGACAGTCAGAAATCAACTAAATATGGACGTGGAACTTAGTCATACAGCTTAGATATCAGTTGATGAAATCATACTGGACATATAGTTGTGTCTTACCTCTAACATCTTTAGATTTCAGGATAAAATATATAGATAAACATAAGAAATGGTAATGGGCTCACTAATATCTTCAGTCGTAGCAGATATACTTATGGATAGTTGTTAAAACATAACCTTGAGATAGTGTAATCATTCACCTAAGATATGATGGTGATATATATGGATGAGACATTCATCACTATCTTCAAATCCCAACATATTCACAGGTCACTCACAATTAACGTAAACTCAATCCTAAACGCAATTCAATTCTCATTTACGGGAAGGTAGGAAAGGTATAAGAGGAATTACCTATGTTGTATTGTAGGATAAAGCAAAGGATAGACGGTGGTATGGATATTACCATCTATACCAAACCGACACATTCTAACAGGTAGTTATGTAGACTTCAAATGATCTCATCCGATGTCAGTCAGTGAAGCTGGGTTTAGTCAAATGTGTAAACGTGATAGAGCTAGAAAACTGACTAGTCAGTGAAAGGACTTTAACAAGGAATTTAAACACATAGAAGAAGTGCTAATAGTTTATACTTATCCTATACAGTATATTAAGAAATCTGTACAAACACAGGAAACTCAACAATAACATCAATACGAATACGAATAATAGCGATAACATGAGTTGAAAGAGGGTTCAAAACCCTCCATTGTATTATCATGTAAGAAAGGAAGGAAACTGAGGAACTTTACGTAGGATTGTCAACAGGATTGAAATTAGAATGGCAGACTCACTTAGAAATGAGCTTTGTTGACTGGCTTAAGGATCCGATAGAACCAATTAAGCAAAATAATCTAATCTATTAAATTCCATGTAATGACTTTGACTCAGGTGAAGTACATAGGTCGAAGTAGCCAGGTGATTGGGGGTCAATTAGACTAGTGGAACATAGATATTTACCTAAATATAGACTGATAGACTCGAATAAGATGAATAATCTACAAAGAGAACTCAGCTATTGCAATGTATGCATTAACATAAACCACCATACACTAGGGTAAATAAAACCATCGTACCATTGAAGTCCAATGAAATGAGGTGGACCAACCAACACATGCGTAATAAGAATGCGACAACACCCTTGTATACCGAAGATATGAAAAATCTTACTACTAATTAAAAATAAAGAATAATGAGGTGTGATAAGAGTATAAAAATCGGTTGTTGAAAGTGGTTTAGGATTATATGAAGGATGATAATTTCTGCTTGAAACGTCGTCATCAAGTGAATAAATACTATATATTACTTAAATTTAATATGGAATCATGAGTATGATGAATCCAACCTGAAAACTATTTCATTTTCTGTATTAATCAACAGATAAGTGATTGAATTAAATGAAGTTCAAATTCATAAATCAACCAACTATACGTTGTTTTGGTACTTTTCATTTCTCGTTGATATTACACAGCCGAATTCAACAACAGATAGGCTTGTCTATGTGGATGCCACGACACTCTTCTGGATATTCATGGTGTTATATTGATTTTGACGACTAGGAGTGGAGTCGAAGATGTTGATTTCATCCCATTTTGAACTCACTCGTCAGTTAGATGTAAATCCACCTCAGTGAATGATATTGTTCTCACTGAGTAGACTCAAACTTCGTGACTATCGCTTGAAATACTAGAGAGAAAGCTTTTACGCTGAGGCTTGCAAGTCTTTCTCGTTGATTAGACTGAATTAATTGACCAATATTTGCATATTAGATCTTATGCGGATGCCTCGATATCTCTGATATTTTAAAAACAGTGGCTATCATGACTCAGTAACCTAGTGGATATCTCTCTAGCGTTTGAAGTGATAGATATGAACTTTGAGTCTGCTCACTTGAAACAACATCATTCACTGGGATGCAAGTACATTCAGCTGATGAATCCTAAAGAGGAAGAAACTCATATCTTCGCTTCTACAGCTAACCACTATCCATTAACACTTTACTTTCTTCCATTGACATATAAACAGTTTCATTGACTCTAATATTTCTACTGTCTTCCTCTTGATGTCTTATTCTCAAGTCTGATAGACTGAATTGATGAAATTGTCTACAAGATTTCATATTTCTACCTATTTGTCAATTAAAGTAAACATAATTTTATTCAATTCATGAAAGTAGATAATTATTTATCATCTCTGTTGAGTTTCATTTGATAGACTTCATTTCTTCAATATGATGATATTTCAAAGTGTAAAACGCTTAGACTCATGTATATAATCTCATCATTTTCTCAACTTTCCCACATCTTTATTGTTAACTGGTTGCATTAGTCCCTCCATCTACTTTACAATCTTCAACGTGTTATATCGAGTTATCAATTAGTTTTCTTTCCTACATTTAATCACAATAAATTGGAAGAATATCCCATCAAAGAAGGAACAAGTGTAAGTATTTCAGTCAACAGTCTCTTTTCTTACCGACTTCATTTTCAAAGCTAAACAATCGTATATTTATACATTTTTTCTATTTTCTTCTAATATAAGGATTTGATAGTTGAAAAGAGTCTGTCAAGCATACCAGGTAACACATATGGATGACAAGAGCTTCGGTGATGCAGAGAATATGAAGACAAACAGCCTTTTCAGGGTTTCCTTTTACTGTTTAGATGACTTTGAACGAGGTGGTCCTCAAGATGGTGTGATTCGTGTTCACTATGTCCTCAATTATAGCACTCCTTATCTCTCCATTGTCACCTGTTTGTAACCACGTGGGATAGATAATGCTCCAGAACCCATTTGGATAACAGTCGCATCGAACGACCTATATACCTGACTGGCTCCACAAGACTAGGTGAAGTGATATGTGCACACAGAAGTGGTCAGATGCAAACGTTGGTCCTTCAAGTGATCGGGTGACAGGAGAATACCAGTCTCAGCGATGATGCAAAGAATGTTCTCCTTAGAGCGTTTAATATCCTCCTTTTCAGTGTCAGAGACAGAATCACCTATGAAGTTTAGATTAATGTAAAGTGTCTTTTTTGGCACGGTGGTAAGGTTTTCGTTGCCAAGTTTAGGTTTGATGTCTTTGTTTATGAGTCACGGTGAAAATCCATTTTCAATCAGTATGATCTTGAGGAGAGAAATTTTCTTCTTCCAAAACACATCAGGACTGCAGATTCGTCTAATGTGAGTGGCAAACGATATGATCAGGTTTCGCTTACAATTCATAGGGACCCAGCTATTAAACTTCTTCAGTTGATCATTCCACATTGATTTTCTGTGAATTGGTCTGCTTAACATTCCAGCAGTTGTTCTTGTCAGCTCTACATCAAGAAGGTGAATTTTCGACCGATTTTCGACGTCAAGAGTGAGTCCAATTGGTGAATGGCAGTTACTGAATATTTGTAGAACATAATTCAAATCATATTGATGATCATAGACAATAAAAGTATCTTTGATGTACCTTTTGTACTGTTGAGAACTTTCAGTCGTTAATTTCAAAGGTCCAAAATGGCCATAAAGCGGTTTGCTAGTATTCTATTCACAAGAGTTATTTCAGAATAAACCTGCTAGGAGTCGGACTCAAGACCTTGAAAACTCATGGGCAGTAAATTATCAATAGTCCACATTTTCCTCCTGTCAGTAGCAACGTGTTGGCCATATTACCTGAAGGCCTTAGGCTCAATTCCTGAGGGGGGGGGGAACAGGATCATAGGTGAGCATTGGTGAGGAGTCCCATGTTATGACGAAATATAACGAATATTGCTGTGAAGTTAAATGAATAAATCTTGGCAAACCTCCAAGTTGCATCACATCAAAATATAACATGAGTGGAATAATAATTCACTTACTTATTACAGATAATATTATAGCACCGATTATCATAACAAAAAACTGCAGTGTATCAGTATAAAGAACGGCTGCCAATCCACCTGAAGTAAATAAAAGAAAAATTAAATATGGAATTCTTTATTTCTATTCAAAATAAATTATATCTATGTTTCTTTCGATTTGAAAAATCATTTTTGTGCCATTAATGAAGTGTGTGTCAATCCCGATTGTTTTTTTGTAAAGCTTGATGCTTGAAAACATCAACCACATGTCCGTATGTGGTTATGCTGTTGACAAGTCGTAGTTGATAAGAAAAAGCAACTATCATGTACTGTATAGTTTTCAAAGGCTATCCAGAGGATATCAATCCATGATTAGAACTATTTTTTAAATCATCCATCTCTGAGTAGACCTCTCTATTAAAACATTTACACGTCAACCCAGGTAACTAAGGGAAACAAGTACTACTTTACTGTCGAAGACTGAAGTCCAGTAAAATATACGTTTGACAACTAGTTAACTATCTGAAATCCTACGCTGCAACATAGCGATATCTCTCATCTAGAAGAGGACTTGGTGACATCTGCAGTCTGCTGTAAAAACAGCGTTCAACATCGTAGACAACTCTCAGAGCCTGATAAAAAAAGGCCAGTGGATAAAAGTAGTATCTTCTCAGTCAATTGACTCACGTGAAAACACCCATCTAGGCTACTAGCATAAGCTAACAAAAAGTCTACTCAATGACTGTGAATACTGGTGGACGGGAAAAAGCAGTAGTGATAGGCAAAAACAGATAGCAATTTAGATTTATCAAGGTGAGACAATGATGAAGAAGAATAGGTCTGTGATTCACTCGCAGAGGAGACGACTGAAACAATAGGTGGGATACTTCAGAAAGCAGACCAACTGGCCCCCACCTACTATTGTGCTGCTCAATCTATAGTCGGACCCTGGATGAAATATCAAGATCGAATCATAAACACTTACAGAAGTTGAGAAACTCTTACGTTACCTGAAACGATAGAAGGCAGCAGGATCACATAGACTAGTCCCAGAGGTATTCAAGGATGGTTGCAGAGGAGTTTTAGTCAGGTTAACTGAAGAGTTAACAAGAGTATGGAAATCAGATATGCTCACCTTAAACCGTTCTGAATCACCAACTGTCCGAGCCTTCACCGCATAGTACTTGAGATTCTAGGTTCTGTAATCATCAAATGACTGAGTTCGCTCTGTCCTAATACACGGCTGTGAGTCAAGACCGTCAAAAAGAGAAGACATAAAGCAATTAAACACCTTCAATCACAAGTCTCTTCGCATTTGATGAAAATCACCGTGTAAGCAGTGTCGAGGTGACGCAAATGGTATCGGACAAAACACGACAGCAAATCGATTGATAAGGTTGTTAACCCTACAGGGACTCAGATGACTTCAACATGTAATGCGCATACAAAGCCAACATCACCCATCTACGAGAAGTTCAGTTGGGTTGGAACAGGGTTCATTGTGGCTAGACCGAAACTTCCCACCACTCCATCAACTCTTTCACCATTGGTTTGAGTCATGTGAGGAGATGTACACTGTCTGGTTTGGATCCTCGAGATGAAGGGATTCAGTGGTTGTGGACTGACTCTTGGTGACAAGGTTGAACATCAATTGGTCACAATGGGGCAGATGTGCTTACTGATTTTTTGACGTCTTCTCTGAAGCTTGAATACTGGCACTAACTGTCATCTTCAGATTGTTTATTCTCTCATACACCTTCATCTACTTTGATTTACCACTCACTGTCTATCCACCTGTACTTTGTATACTAATGTGAAGTGTGGCAACTTGAACCTATGCATCTGTATAGGAGGTTCTACGTTGTTTTTGTTTGTCTACCTGACGTCAAGATATAGGGCAGTGAGTCACTAGATAGAGAGATAGGAGTATAACATAGTTAAAAGTCCTAGAAAATCATAAGAGAAGATATAGAGAAGGTAAAACAAGTAAATAAAAGTGATGTAGATGTTAGGATGGAGATACTGTTTAGATTCATCAGCGCCAGTGAGATCACTTCCCATCCAAGTGGATTATAGTCTTCAACCAGCGATGCATATACTCAAGTAGATCAAAATCTGGCAATATTCTACTCTAATTTCATGCAAAATATTCAATTACGGTCACTATATCTATTGAAAAATGCACAAACTGATGTTCAGCGTAATATTAACGGATTTTTTGACATAAAGTTTGCATTAAATATGATCAAACATTGAACTTAACTGATCTGTCCTTACAAACCAGTTTTTTTGATTAACAGTCTAAAAACAAAAACGGGTTATGTTTAATTACCTAGTGAAATTAGTGACTAGACTAAAACATCATCAACAGGAAATGGCAGTAATTCGAGATAATCCTTTTTTAACTGTAGATGTTAGGTGAACATCTGGTCTAGTCAGACATCATTTAAGTGAGTAGCAAACTGAAAATATTAGGGAAATCACTGAAGGAATAATAAAATTTTAAAAAAAAATGCACAAATGATATTGGAGTAATCCAGCCCTAAACATTCTCTTTTAGTACCTCCATTATACATCACTGATCCACGGAAATATACGCAGACAGAGACCAACCTGTGACATTAACGAAGACACTTTATTCAATAAAAATTCACCATTTATACACGACAGTTTTCGTGAATATATAAAACAAGTAAGTCATAAGTTAAATAGCTTCTGATTGGTCAACTCCAAGGTGAAATTGTCCAATAAGATTTTTCTTGACCACACAGCGCAGTGACATGATACAAAAATTGGATTACAAAAAATTCTTTCTAATTTAGTGACTGGTGACTTTATGTGTTGATTTCCATATAGGCCGTCTCCTGTCGATAAGATTACCGAATAGATTTTATTCTTTTTTTTTCACAATTTTCAACAATATATATTTATGGAGCTTCATGGAATGGAGCTGATGACACTTAGACACTCGAAAATGCACCACTCTTTGAAGAACTAAGTTCACACTGACACATACAACAGTTTGTAAATCCTTAGTTTCAGTGACTAGTCGATTTGTGATCGAAACTACTTACTAAAGGAATTCAAGAATTTTTCCAAAAAAATATATGAAAGAAATCTCATTTTTAGAGTAAAAAACACAAAACAGATTGAAAATACTATCAACTTGTAAACTTGTTAACAACACAAATAAAAAACTGATTTCAAAGTCGGCAAAGTTGTATGAGGGAATGATCACTCTGAAGATGATAGTTAGTGCCAGTATTCAAGCTTCAGAGAAGACGTCAAAAAATCAGTAAGCACATCTGCCCCATTGTGACCAATTGATGTTCAACCTTGTCACCAAGAGTCAGTCCACAACCACTGAATCCCTTCATCTCGAGGATCCAAACCAGACAGTGTACATCTCCTCACATGACTCAAACCAATGGTGAAAGAGTTGATGGAGTGGTGGGAAGTTTTGGTCTAGCCACAATGAACCCTGTTCCAACCCAACTGAACTTCTCGTAGATGGGTGATGTTGGCTTTGTATGCGCATTACATGTTGAAGTCATCTGAGTCCCTGTAGGGTTAACAACCTTATCAATCGATTTGCTGTCGTGTTTTGTCCGATACCATTTGCGTCACCTCGACACTGCTTACACGGTGATTTTCATCAAATGCGAAGAGACTTGTGATTGAAGGTGTTTAATTGCTTCATGTCTTCTCTTTTTGGTGGTCGCGACTGACAGCCGTATAATCGGATAAAAAAAACCTACAGCACAGTATATTCATCCTTTAACAGGTAGTTGGATATCTTACCTTTCAACATGTTAAGATGACTTCGCAGTGTTTCAGCGTTTTTATCTCTCAGGACAATGTCTTCTGCATACTCTTAGTCAAGCAGATACCCTATAGTGATTAGATCAATCCCTGTGAATTCAGACACAGATGGTGAAATTAGACACGAACAGTAATAGCGACATCACCAGGGGTATTTGGTGTGGTTTTATGAGATATGACAACTTGGACCATTACGCAGCACTACCAAGTCTTGTGTTGATTATTCATCAGAATTGCTTCTCAGATGTTCACTTTCATAGAAACTATTTGATTCTTCTTCATACACAATCTCTTTTTTCAATTTTCCTGGCCATCGTCTTCAAAATGTCAGAAATCAGTTTTTGGAGATGATCAATTTGTGAATGAATTACAAAATACACGCTCCATGTTAATATTTCTCACACAATTGAGTATTTCTTTTCAACTTCCACCCAACTGTGGGGTTAACAGGGTTCATATTAGAATCCAGTCAGTCAAAATTTCCAGGTATGATTCCTGATACAAACGTGTTGTTAAATAACCAAATTTACCAGTGAATAACTTGAGTATTCACAGAGAGCTATCCAGCTGATTTGTGCATTACCACAGCCAGATCACCGTGATGTAAGACCAGATGACCAGTCCGATCGTTTCACATTGAATCAGTTACCCATATGGTTGATCGAAATCAGCTCATACAGGTTAATGCTTTACATCACCTATATACCGGTAAACCTTACATAGGATGATCGATTTGCAATTACTCTTTTTACAAGTAGCACACTTCACTTTGGCATTTTTAGCACATCTGAGTAGTTTTCCAACTGTCTAACCAACTATACTACCAGCAGGTTTTCACTTGGAAACCACCCAGTCACGATCATTAGGTGTAAGTAATCCCTGACATAAAAGTGCCATCGATTGGTGAAGTATACTACTCAAGTCATTCACCAGTATATTTTGACGAGTTAATCTTGATGAAAAGGATACAGATGTGTCCAAAAGTTTGTCATCTACAACATTTTGAACTTTTTATTAACCCTAATTTATCTATTTTTCCTCATCTACTTCACACACACACACACACACATGTACATTCCCCTTTGTCTCCTACTAATATTATTCAATTTTCTTTCTATAAAGCTTGAAAGTGTGGTAAAGTGATCCGTTGCAACTACTGCGTAAATTCCACTAGTATGATCTCTATCAATCAGTCTGTCCATCTCTTTCTAATGGATAAAGATAAACAATTTACACGTTAGTTACTAAGAGAAAATGTTTCATCTCATAATATAACTATAAATATTGTGAGACATTCAGTATGATGTTGACGTAGTGTGCATCCTTCCTATTTCTGATGTTCAAGATATTATAGTCAGAAGATGAAAAGGGATTTTATCGTTACAACTAACTGATAGTGAACACTGAGTTTATACAATTTCAAAATGATTATCAAGAAAGTTTATTTCTATATGTTTATCATTACCATTTGAGTATTATTTTATTTGTTAAGTAAGAGAGTTAATCTCATCCCTTCTTAGTTATGTTTTGATGTAATTCAGTTCATATTTTTCAGCTAATTTTTCTGTTATTTCTGTTGGTTGATGCTTGAGAGGAAAATGAAAAGTTGGGCTTCAGCGGCGGTTGCCGATTCCAACCAGCGACTAGTGGGTTCTCATCTCATTGCTCTGTCAACAGAATGATGAGGCCTGATTGCTAACCAGATTTTTATTTTACTTCAATCACCAAGGCTTTATTCCTGACATCCATATGAATTCATGACGCCTTACTACAGCTTGGTCGTACTCACACAGGCTGCCTAGTAAGGACTTCTCATTCCGAGTAAGTAACCCATGCATAAATCTTGGGAATAAAATAATTGATACTGGATGGTGACTGAAGGTGAAATGTAAAGTTGGACGGCGGTAGGACTCGAACCAGTGACCATCAGGTTTCCAGCTTGATGCTCGGATCTCATCTGGTAGAACACCGAGCCGGAAACCCGGTGATCGCCGGTTCGAGTCCGCCGCCAACCGACTTTTCATCTCACCTTCAACCACCATCCAGTATCAATTATTTTATTCTCCAGATTTATGCATGGGTTACTTACACAAAACTAGAACATACTTATATAACAGTAATAATGGGAATCATGTAATCAAGTGCGGACTTGAACTATTTTAGATATATCCCTCAATGGACTCGGATTGTGCAATGAGGATACCATTTAGAGGCTAAGGTGACGTCATCGCTTTATTTCAAAGAGTTTTCTTCAACTGGATACAACCTGAACAAGTAAATACGTCAATAATCACTATTACAAATATTAGCATTTACAGGGAGTGGCCAAATATGACATTCAACAGTCAAGGTAATCAGCCGTTAGGGTAGAAGCGTTTCTCCTTCAGATTTTGATTTATGTCTACATATGAACAAAATAACCTGACTGGTTTATTCAGTAGCCATTAAGATTGTGCTATTCTATCTTGGGCCCAGGACATTTTTCTGTGTGGGATTTGTACACATATGCTAACGTTTATCAAATAAAGTTGTTGTCCTTGCAGTCACAGGTCACCCTTTATCCTTTGATATTTGCGTGATGTGGTGAAGAATAGGGGGTTGAGTGGGAATGGTTATGTTGGCATTCAGTCCTAGTGTACCGCTGCGTTCAGTATTGTTATTACTTTCCTCCTATTTCACTCGGTCACTTCAAACATACTTTGAAATGGGCAGAGCGTTTTAAGATTCCGGTTAGTGCTCTGAAGATCAGGCAAACAACACATAGTTCATAAGATAAAGTAGGTTTACGTTTAGGTAATAAATTCAGTCGATGCACATATAGATTTTATAAGGTAAAGTGGGAAATATTCACGAATGAGTGAGATAAGATTAGAAGTAAGTGGAAGGTCTTGCACAGTAGTGTGAAAGTATTATGTCAACAAAATGATGAGTGAGTGAGTGAGTGTTATTTACCCTTAATTTTGCCTAACTTTTGCCTGATATTTTTCTGTTAACGTAAAACAACTTTATTGTTACTGTTTTCATGCCTTCTTGTCAACATCGTTAGCTTTTGTTTTTCCCACTGTTTTTGTAAAAGCTGAAATCTGATTGGTTGTTAACTCTTGTAACTTACGCGTAAATTTTGTGTTTAACAGAGTAACCCTCAACTGTTGTTAACTGTTGGTGAGGGAGTAAAAGATGTCTGTCATTGATCTGTCTTATCTTCTTGTCTTGGCATGTCGGTGGTTGTCATTCTGATTACACATTAGACTCGATTTGTTTTATGGGTTAAATTCGTATCGTTCTTAGACTGTTGGGTTACATTTACCGGTCACAGCAATGAGATGAAACTATCGTAATTGTAACAAGTATATTATTGATGAAATGAGTGAGAAGTCACTAAGTATGAGAGCACACAGATAATGACGGTCTTGTGAATTCGATGTAGGTATGAGGTGTTTTTTGTGTTGACGAATATATAGAATTGCATCGCATCTACCTGATTTCCCGTCTCATTTATTCGTGAACATTTCTCACCTGGTGTCTTATATAGCCTTGATCTACACTGATTAAAGTTATTGTCTAAAGCTACTGACCTGACCTTTAGTAGATTAACTAGCCATTAGGTTAAGGGTTCGATCCCAGGTTCACTGTCCGAGGTTCAGTCAGTCAGGTAGTGTCACCAACTCTCACACATATGAAGTATGCTAATATGTGTAACAGTGATTACTTATTTATTTATCCAAGAAGCTGAAGAAAATTCGATGCAACAACTTGATGACATAGTTTTAGCCAACAGATAGTGTTCTCATTGGATCTTTCTCTTGACTGGTTCAATCTAGCTAATCTTCATTTCTACCCTTTTTTTAATTAGGTTTATTCGATCGATCACCTAAAACTGGTAGTTGTGTTGTTGGACATACTGGAAGAGCAGAGATAAATATGTCAACACAGTGAAACTTTCACACTTAAAATGTACTGTAATAAATGTTATTGTTAATAATATTATCAGGTTAGAGTAAGGTTCTTATTTTGATGGGAAAATCCATTGGAAAATATTTTAATTATTTTGTTGACTAGAATCTTCTCATTATAAAATATGACGTGTAGTTGGGTCATCAAACACCTACATAATCAGTTTATGATTTGACTATCTAAGATAGCCGTAATTAAGCAGACTAGTATTTGCACTGGATGGTGACTGAAGATGAGATGAAGATCTAAACAGCGGCCGGACTCGAACCAGCGACCACCGAGTTACTGGACTACAGGGTCCGACTGCTGACCAGAATTCCATTGCATTTCAATCACCAAAGATTTCGCCCGACTACCATGTGGATCCGTGACGTGTTACTACCGCTTGATCGTATTCACACTGGCTGCCCACCAGTCAGGACTTCTCATCCCAATCCAAATCTAACTGAATCAGAGATAAGAAGTCCTGACTAGGCAGCCAGTGTAAATACGATCAAGTGGTAGTAACGCGTCACGGAATCATATGGTAGTCAGACAAAACCCCATTTGTGATTGAAGTAAAATAAAAATGTGGTCAACAGTCCGATGTCGTAGCTCAGTTGGTAGAGCACCGGGTCGGTAACCCGGTGGTTGATGGTTCGAGTCCAGCTGCGGTCTAGATTTTCATCTCACCTTCAGTCATCACTCAGTACAAATAATCATGTTACACTAGACTAAACTAATTCGATGAGACTTGAAATAACAACTACAACAATAAAATTTACTTGTGAATGCTCACCTGTTACAGTGATGAGACCAGTTAGTAAAAGCAGCAGAACTATTGATACCCAAGTATTCCATTTTAATGCTTCAGTTAGAAACAAGGAACCTGAGTATAAATTAACCTGAAAGCAAAAGTATCTATGTCAGAGATGATTCAGAAGTTATTTATTTATTTATCATGAGTAAATCATCGAATTTTCAATGATTATTCATTGAGATAGTCCTTTTAAAGTTTTATTCAGTTTAGCAATGAAAACTATTTCACAGACTTGTATTATTATTATTATTAACTACTTGCCATAATGAAACGTAAAAACTCATTTTAGCAATACAAGAATAAAATATTTGCAGAATAAACTATGAGCTCATTTTATTTCGCAGTTTTTCATCAGCTGTAAACAGACTACAATTGAAGTAAAGTATGTAGAAATAAACAGAGACTTGAAATCTAGAATTAACAATAAAATGGTAGTGAACGAGTCAAGGAAACACACATGTAATATCTACAAATCTTAGTCAAAATCTATGACAATTTATATATAACGAGATGGAAAATTCTGGAGCTGTGGAGTGGGGTTAACAACAAACGAAAATCAGTGTAAAAGAAGGGACGGTTTTAAGAGCTAATAGGTTACATCATTACATAATTGATAGTCAGTAAGTAATCAAAGAAGAGATGATACAATCAAAAGGAAAGGGAAGACTATATACACATACACACGCAAAAAATTATATACAGTTAACAAGGTAAAAAAAGGTTAATTATAGTCTCCTTCTGAGTACATAGGTCGGATTGAAAATGTTTGATAGGAAGAGCTTCCGCAAACCATAATAAACATGGTGTTCTTTGTTTATTGACTATCCTAAAGGTTTGAGAAACACTTAATTGATGTCCTGTTTCCATCAAGTGCCTAGCGACTGCACTGGTAAACAAACGCCTTGCTACCATTCAAACACAGATTTCCTAGAATATGCTCATAAAATCGACTAGACGCCCTTCTTTTGGTTCGTCCTATGTAGGCTGTTTGCAGCTGATGAAAAGTTATGAAATAAAATAAGCTCATTTTATTCTGCAAATGCCTTTGTTCATGCATTGTTCAAATTTGTCTAGGAAACTAAATACATTCTATCTGGAGTTTTGTGGAGGTTTACTAATTGATTTTCGGTTGAAATTTATCATAAACTGACATCAATTACAGGAACAACGGAATTCATCCAACATTCCCTGATAGCGTATACTCAAACATTCAGGTGTCAATCATTCACTCTGCTATTCAGATACAAAGTATTTGTGGCACAGATTGTGCACAAGTATAACCCGACTTCTTGAAGAGTACACTTGCAGAAAATGCCTATTCTAGCCGACTTGTTCATAAATATATGCTAGAAGAACATACGAAATCAGCCATCAAGTCAGTTTCTAAAGATGATAAAACATCCTGCATCCTAGATAATCAATCGTCTCTTGAGATCAATTAGCAGGATATTGTTTTGCAGCCAAATTTCGTTTGGTTTTTATTAAGCACAAAAAAAGAAACAATATCTCTCAATATGTCACCTCCATTTGTATTTACCAGTTCATCTACTTCTGTAGACCAAGGTACATCAGCTGTAGCTAGGGTCTGAGCTATCAACACCTATAGAAGAACATATTTCAGCCTCATCTGACAATGATGTCTGATTGGTATGTGTAAGCTATCTGACTTGAATATTTGAGATAGGAAAAATTAATGTTTATGTGCTGCATCTTCGTACTTCAATGTGATAATGACTTCCACTTGTCAGTTCTCATTCTTTTTTGTCATACACAATCTACTTCAATATTTTGCCTTTTTCAGTACTTTTCTGATATATGACAAGGTGAACAAACGCCTTTCTATCATACAAAATATCCCCTTTTCAGAGTATTAACATTAATGTTGTTACATATTGTTAATCTCAGCATTAGATGATCACATAAAACAGTGATTTGTAATAATAACTCATAACTGTTAGATCGTTGAAGAACTATACAACTTCAGAAGCATCATGACCAGTTAATCTTCTTATAACTATTATATTCATTAAAACTCTAATTCAATTTACTATTCATATTGTTTGTCTACATTTCTACTAACTTTACTTACAGCACCGTAAAAACATAATCACTTGAAAAATTTTTTGTTTTGAATCACATAAATAAATAAGTGAAGTTTTGCCCCTTTATGCATTCTGAATCCCCTCGCCAGTCATCGTTACCAATCAAATCACGTTAAAACTACAAAATCCTGTAGTCCTTGAGTCAAGTTCAAATGACCTTGAAACTGCCAATAAGCGTGTAGAAAAAGGTTAGATCAATTCTTGATGATGATTCTTTTTTTTTTGGCTTTTTTAAAGATAAAAGAACCCACACTGTTGTTATGATGACATCGGTGTTGAATCATTTGGTAACCGGTGAACCTTTTTTGAAGTTCACTGTAGTATCATTTTGAAGGATCTATGTCATTATCATTAGATGATTATTTACCGTTGAGAGTTACACCGCAAAACTAAAAATCGGGAATTTCTTAGAATGAATCTCAAACTCAAACTCCATCAGGTTGAAAAAAAGATTCAAAATGCCCTCAAGCAACCATATTCATATTCATACAGTATACCATAAGTTACACCTGTTTTATAAAAGCTATTTACATTATCTGTCTACTTAAACTTCAATCACTCGGATGGAATTCTAGCCAATGACCAACTGACTAGAAATTAAGTGACTAAGCCAATGAACAATAGTTCCACAATGATTTGAAATTTTTATGAATAAACTCCTAGAACACACATTTACATAATTCTAACTTAGGTATCAAGAACTAGCCCAAAGTTTGACAGCAGCTCATCAATAAAATGAAACAAATAACACTTTTTGTATCTTTTACTTTTTTCACTAAAAATAAAATTGTATAATATAAACTTTCTTCCTCTTTTTTTGTTTTACTGGTTCATTGATATTTGTTCAAGGTCATTGAAGGTAGACTTAGGAATGAAATTATTTTATAGTCCTAGTACATGGCTATGTTTTTAGCCTAAATTTTAATTATCTAGTCGACTGTGGGCTACAGTAACTCACTACTAATTTTTATGTATTTATTTACGTCCATTTTAGTTCACCACCAATAAAACAGCTTAGCTATCACTTATATAGTTTTATACTGTGAAGCTTTCGCTTATTGTTCTAGGGAGGTGACTTTCAACTAAGTAGTTCACATGTTCAAACACCACCTCACCTGCCGAGATTTGGAGGCTACAGATAGTAGCATCATCAGTAGTCCTCGTACAATAAGTTTGGCTTATTGTCTACTCCATGAATGTACACAAGGTTGTTGAATGGTTTTCGATTTCGATTCAATACTAGATCTTAGCTAGCTGACTGAATTTTTTGTCTCATTTATCATGCCAATGTTTTAGACGCTGATAACTGTAAGAATTGGACATATTAATCCGTAAGGGAAAGCATCCTTCTTAGTTGTAAGTTTTAAAAAAATCAGTCCGCTTATGTACATCCGTGTCGTAGTGGTCTAGTGGATAACGTTTTGCTCCTTAAAGTGATGGACTTAAATCTCAGTGGGGACAATATCATTTACTGAAGTATACGTGCATATAGCTGACGAGTCTCAACTTAGACGAAACATGTATCCTCGATCCCACTGCTAGCCACTAACAAACAATTTGCTTCTGTATTACGTTCATCTTTTGTATAATTATAGACCGTACTTGGTTTAATACGCTGCAGATATGGCAAACATCAGTGTTTATCGGCACCAAAAGCATTGAAATGGGATGAGCATTTACTAGCTACAGGTCGACTAATGTAGGTACTGAGAGAGATTCATAATCACATAGTCATGGGACTAAACAATATGCGTAGACTAAAGTAAACAAAAGGCTGGAAGTTATGTGAATCAGGTAATGCTTTAGTTTAGGAAATATGACCACATTTAGTCTTTAACTCATCATATCTAGTAGATGGCAACAGCTGTGATCTTTGAAATTATCTCGGTAACAAACACTTTAGATTAAAGACGTCAATAAAACCATCAAACTGGTGAATTTTTCCATATCGTTGCATCATTTCTCTAAGCCAAAATAAACTGCAGTTGTACGGATCATGCTGCGTTATACTGTCAATTACAAACTAGTATACGGTTTGAAGATAACTGAGAGACTAAAATTTCTACATGTATACCAATTTTGGAATAAGTTGTACGATAAATAAGCAACTACAGTTTTTTTTTACTTGCATGCTAATCAAAGAACTAAGACTTGTCAGTTACATAAAACTGTAAGCTGTCTAGTCATTATCTAGGCTTCTAAGACCGATTATCCCCCCCCCCCAAAAAAAAGAAATATTAATGATAACAACATTTGTCATATTTAGGTGAAAATTAAAGAAAGGCGAACCTATTCAATTTTGTTATAGTTGATTCTTATCATAGCCTTGCATTAAACTTGAGTTTAAACAGAATTTTCTAACTCATGGCCTCACTCAAATTAACACTTGAGAAAGTTAGGAGTAAGAGAAATTTCTCACGATTAAATCTTTGAATGACATACAGTAGCATCTGCAATGGTTTAATGATATCATTTGTAACAAAAAAGCTCTAAGTGAGTAAAACAATAGTGTATTGTAAATTAGCACAAAATTTCTCAACTTTATAACATTAGTCACTACTCTATTAGTAAAAAGTAATAGAACTGAAATAGGCTCATAATCAAGTTCACCTTTTTATGTAAGGATGTAGTAGAAATATCTTTGCCTTTGACCATATATGCCCAGATGCTATCAGTCTCCCAATGCATCTGTAACACAAATTTATTCAGTAACTACATTGGGTTCTGTGTATTGTATCACAAATCACATAATTTCTAAAAGCCATTAATGCTGCCTAATTTTGTCAGGTTTACCAGTTAAAAAAGTTTCATATCCATTACTTATTGATTTGAAGTTGAAGTCACACCTCTATCATTCAGTTATAAGAACTTTGTAATAGTTTGTAGCTGACTGAATAGGTATGGAAGAGATGATGTTTCATATGATAATTGTAAGTGAGACAGTTTTATATCCTGATATTCATTCAAAACCATTCGGAATACATTTTTAAGATAGATACAAAAGTGAAATATATTACATCAAAAATCTTTTAGTGAACATTAGAAAACAAAAATATACCATTGAGAAGCTCTGTAGATATTTACATATTTAGTAATAAAAGTTCATATGCATAGTAAAACTTATGATGAGAAAGCTGACATTTTTACCGATGTAACAAAGACTCTGATCATTGATACCTAAGTTACATTATTAATGTTCTGGTATCCACTTGGCTCAAAGCTTTTGGCTAACAACCTAGGAAAATATATGCTACCTGAGGGAAATAGACCAAAATATACAAATTAGACAGTTGTCTTTACTTAGTATCATCAATACCAGTTCATATGTGTCTGGTTTAAACATAATCAAATGAAATAGAAGTCGTGACCGGTGGAGTCAAAGCCTGATGGCCATGAGGACAGATACTCAACGATGACATTGGGTTGCGGTTTGCGCTATATCGTGAGCTAACAGAAGTTAGAAATATGGAGCATTGGATTCTGACCCAGTGGCTAGCTCAATGATAACGCGCTGGCCGTGGAACCTGGAGGTCGCGGGTTCGATCCCTGCTGGTGGGGTCGTGGGTGTGCACTGCTGAGGAGTCCCATACTAGGACGAAACAGCTGTCCAGTGCTCCCAGGTTTCCTTTGTTCCTCCAGCTGATGTCAGTCTTCGAGGAATAACAACGTGAAATAACAAATTATTAAGCATAAATATTAATTGACTTACTGATATTTTTGTAAAGATATAAAGTATAAGAGACAACAGAGCTAGATAAATATGAATTCTTTCACCACCAAAACGCTTTTTCATATATTCCGGTAATGTACAAACCTTGAAACAAAGTCGATTATTTTCACAGGAACTTACTCCACTGGCAATATAAACTGGCAAAAAAACCCATCCTAAAAGCTGAAGTAAAAGTGAGGCCTGAAAACAAAATAAAAAGTATTTTTGTGATAACCTGATAAAATATACAAATAGAGAGTAACTACTATTATATGATATACTTAAAAATTACATGACTGATCTCAGCCAACACTAAATTTGAGTGCACTTTGGAAACATCGAGCATCATTTAGAAAATCTTATGGCAGACCTGAAAACTTCAAGAAATTTCCCTAAGTTTGTCACTGTTTACTGATAAACCTTCTACTTGAAGGACTTTCAAGCATTCAGACACATCTTATCACAAAATACCGTTACTTTGAAATGATACTTCCAAAATATGACCTTACAAGTGAAGGAGACATCGTCCCTGGGAAGCTTCGGATGCACTACTGATAATCTAGGAACTGGCGAACCTTTGGTAACTTCGAGAATGATTTCAGGTTTTTTGAGGAAGACACTGTGTAACCCTAAATGTGCTATAATTATTTTATTTAGGGTGTTCACCCAAAACTTCTGAACTGCACCTGAAGTAAATTCTGACTAGAACTCAAGAATGAACAGATTAAATGTTCTCCCCATAGCACTTTACAATAAGTTCACTATCAATAATGAAACATCCTCTACTTACATTTAACTCAAAAGCACCAACAGCTATACCTGCAGCTGCTCCTGATCCAGCTAAACCAATAAAATGTTCACTGCCAATGTTACTAGCAAATAGTGATGCACCGACCTATTCAATTAATTAATCATCCGGAAGAAAACATACTGGAAGCCATGTCATAAAGCGTCCTGCCAAAAAGTAACCACTGACAGTCCCTCTGCTTGAAGCAAATAAAGCCTGAAAATATTGAGTAGTAGTAAGTTATTCAAAAAATTACATATAGTCCAGTGCCTAGCAATGCTATGAAGTAGATCACAAGAATCACTATGTCAACAGCATTCAAATTCATGATCCCAATAAATTTGGTAGCTGTGATTTTTGAAAGAAAACTGCTGAGAAACGAAATAAATTATTATCAGGATTAGGTCAACCTGAAATATTTATAGCAAATCCAGTCGAATTGAACTCAATCCTTTTGTGTTTGAGTTTCAACACCACAAAACATAGTGATAACAGCCTGAAAACCAATTTAATGGCAAAAGTCACTCACACTCACGGTCACAAACAGAATTTTCGGGAGCTATGCAGAAAAGCGTTGATTTGACAATTAAGATTGAATGGTTTAAACAACTCTGCTCACTGGTGAACAACAGTAACGTAAATAATAGGTTTTTCTTTTCACTAGCTGACAGCTGGTTTGTCCAGTGGAGCAACGGAGCCAGTGATAAGGCTAATGGACTTTTTGCGATTCCCGTCTTAATAGGCACCTGTAACTAGGCGTTAAGTGATATTCTGAAAGTATTGGGAAAAATAGGGCAAGTAGAGGATGAGAGAATAAGGGTGAAGAGTAATTATGGAGAAGAAACAATGCTGATGAGCATGTGTAGAATGTATGATTTATGCTGTAGATACTACTGCTGGGTAGTAGGAGCATAAATGTGTGCGCCTTCAGTTGTTACTGGTGTGTGATGTTGACAAGTGGGGGGAGTCAATATCAGCTGCCCTCTTAGGAGGCCTGCTATGGTGCTCGTGTCAGTCACCATTCTTTTGTTTTTAACAATGATACCTGGTGTGTCACAGAAGTCAGACTTCAGGTCCTTTTCCGCAAATACTTTGTTGATTGCACTATTCCTGACGTTGTAGCCAGTGTTCATCATTTCCGACATTTGGGGATATATCGCCTTACAATTCCAAAAGGTTAAAGATCAAACCACTCTTAGCTGTCCAGGAACTAGGCGCATTAAACCATCTTAGAGTATCCTGGTGCCCCCTCCCTTACTTATTGTCTTCCATTCCTTGGTATAATCAATATATAGGAGGAAAGAAAAGAAGGCCAAAAAAGTGACTCAGGACTTCTTGAGATCCTCTTGTCCTTGCACTCCTCTGGACTGATGGATGTCTGTCTACTTCTAACGGAATTTTGTTCCCCCTGTACCCTAAATCGTGGCATAGCTGAATCTATGATGCCCATTTTCATAGCCCCTACCGGTTGCCAAGTTAATTAGTTACTAGCCCGTCATGACCCCATATAAAGAGGGAAGGTTGGGCATACGGCTACCAACCCTACCCCGTAAGACCCGTCGAATCGCTAAACAAACTTCAAAACCCAAAGAAAATGTAAAAAAATTAAATTAAACTCTTTCCGTGCTGGAATCGTTTGGATGAAATCCTTCGGGAAGCCGATTGGCCGATATGTCTTCTCTTCCCTCAATGAAAGCGAAAGTAAACATGGGGACATGCAATGTCCTCACCATGTTTGAACCTACCAAGGCTTCATAGATCGGCAGAGATGAGAAGGTATGGCAAAGAAGTGCTAGGAATCTGTGAAAGCAGATGGAATGGAAGTAGACTCTCCAAACTGTCAACCGGAGAGGAGTCAACGGTCTACTCCGATATTGTTACCCAGACGACAACCACGAGCACACTCAGTTTTGAAGTGGCTGTCATAATGTCTCCAAGAGCATCAAAGGGTCACTCTCATTCAGTGCGAACCAATCTCCTCCTGCAAGATCAGGATCATGACAGCAAGATTCAACTCAAAAGGAAGGGAAGTCACAGTCATACAATGCTACGCTATCCACCTACACATAATGCAGATGAAGAGAAGAAGGAGGAATTCTGCAGACAACTGCAATCACCAGTGGACAGGACCCCACCCGAGTTGGCCACATCAAATGCATTCTAATCAGTGGGGTGACACGAATGGGAAACTGGGAGCAGACAACACAGAAAGAGAACTCATCATGCGTCGAGAAGCGTTCTGTGAAATGTATGAAAATGGAGGACTGTTTACAGATTTCTGCCTATTCAACGATTCTGTGATTGGAAACAGTGTGTACAAACACAAGGATATCCACAGAGCGAGCGACATGAATTTCACCAGATGGAAACATTGCACTAAAGATGAGATCGACTTCATCTCAATCTCAAGAGAGTGGAGATGCAGCCAGCCTCCTGGACACGAGATCAGATCAAGAAGGGGAGGAGACGTAGGTTCGGAACATCAGACCATCTAGTGCAAGGAATCTTCAAAATCAAGTTGAAAGCCTTGAAAGAAGTTGGTGCTAGACCACAGTTGAAGTTGAACATCCAGAACAAAATGTGAACTGTAGGACGAAACCACAGAGGACATCCTCACGTCAGTCGTTCATCAGGACAAAATGTGAGATGTTGAACAACATCCGTGAAGAAACCTGGGTGGAAGAACACTGGAAGGTTATGAAAGGCATGTGGAAAGAAGTCTCTGCATAACCGTATCAGGAAGTAAGAAGGGGGATCAAGGCAAGGAGTAGATCTCGAGGGATATGTGGAAGCCGATAGAGCAGGGGGAGAAGATGGTGAAGCAGAAGATGAACCAGTGCATTGCATGGATGAATAACGAAAAGTGGAAGTGAGTCCAACGTTTAAAACACTACACTGCACAAAGAAGTGAAGAAGAGTGCATGGAAAGACAAAAGACATTTCTGCGGCATTTGCAAGTGAAGCAGAACAGGCTGGTGGTAGGAGAGATCTGGCAAAATTATATCAAATAACTTGGTTACTATCCGGGAAGAGATAAACACAGATGAAACCAATGAGGGATGGTAAAGGAAACCTAGTCACCAAAGAGGAGAAACAATGGAGACAGAAGGTTGAGCACTTCAAAATCTCTTGAATCGACCACCACCACAACCTGAAACTCGTCCAGAAATAGCACCAGCAACAGCAGAACCATCAGTGAACTCTAGCCCTCCAATGAAAGCAAAAGATTTGAAGGCGATAAATTTACTGAAGGCGGGAAAGCAGGAAGACAGATGGAAATCTAGCAGAAGCACTGAAAACAGAAGCCGAGACAGCAGCGGACATGCTCACTTCACTGCTGCAGAAGGTTTGGAGGGAAGGAAGGAAGGAAGGAAGGAAGGAAAGGTACCTGCCGATTTGAAGAAGGGCTGTCAGGTCAAACCCTCGAAGAAGGGTGGCGTATTTGCAAGAACTGGGGCGGAATCATGTTGTTGTCCACATCAAGCAAAATATTATGCCTCATCATCCTGGAGAGACCAAAAGATGCGCTGGGTCGAACTTGTGACCGGAACATGCTGGTTAGATTCAGGAAGTACAAACCATATTTGGATCAAACCGCAACGCCATATGATCATCATCATCATCATCATCATGGAATAGAGTACATGACGGCAACCAACTCTCCACCTCAACTTCATCGACTTTGAAAAGGCCTTCTACAGCGTCGACCAAGAAGTAATTTGGCAGGCAGCTGCTTCAACAATACGGTTTCAATGCCATAAAAGTCCATCAATCTCATTCTACAGCTATATGAAGACGCCAAGTGCCGAGAGATTCACAATGGAGAGCTTGGTGATCCCTTTGAAGTGAAATGAAGACGGGAGTAAGGCAAGACAAAGTTGTCTACTGTCGCCGGTCATCTTCCTGATTGGCGAGAAGAGGGGTATACGCTGGGTGGACCGATGAAAAGACCCTACATAATTTAGGTTTCGTCCATGATGACTTATGTTTAATGTCTTCTGTTGCACAGACTCAAGGATGTACAGGAGACAACTGACAAGTTGGCGAAAGAGGTAGGGCAGCAGAAGCAGGACTTCGCATGAATGTAGAGACAGAGGTGATGAAGCTACCAAACCAACAACAACAAGCACCAATCACCATGAATGTGAGAAAACTGAAGGAAGTTTTCTCCTTCGCCTACCTAGGCAGCATCGTTTCAACTACCGGCGGAACAGGCACAGATGACGATGTCAAAGCCAGAGAGGATCGGTCCGAAATCAGTGTGGGGATCTGCTACACTCAGCATAAATAGCAACACCCGGATTTCCAACACCAACTCAGTCAAGTCAGTGCTTCTATATGCTTCAAAAACTTGGCGCGTCACGAAAAGCATTTCCAGCAAAGTACAGGCATTCATCAACAGCTGCCACCCACGCTCACTCGATACTGAAAACCGGATGGCCAGAAAGGATAAGCAGAGAGGAACTCTGGCCTTTCGACGAACTAACCAAGAACCTATAGCCCAACAAATATGCGGAAGAAGGTGGAGATGGATTGGGCATACACTGAGAAAACATTCGGAGACATCACTTGCCAGCTCCAGCCATGGAGTGGAATTCAAAGGGGAAACGACGAGTTGGGGCGCCGAGGCGAGAGAGCCATGCAGGGGGTCATGTGAGGAAGAAATGAAAACTTGTGAGCAGTCGTAGGGTCGGGTTTAAAAGACTGCAGAGAACAGAGAGAAATGGAGACGTGCTACTGAAGTCCCATGTTCCACCAGGGACAGATAACAGTAATAATATATTGATGCCCACTTTCATAAGTCTGGTGAGAGTGATGTCGTGTGGGACGCAATCGAAGGCTCTAGCCCCATCCAAAAACATAACATCGACCGGTTGCTTACCTACTCATCCCAAGCGGTGGTCACTTTTGTGTAGGTAAGCGGTGACTATGAATCCACGTTGGATGGGATGAGCTATGATGTTTCCGCTAAGGAAGTTCAAAACAAATTTGCAATCAGGTTGTTCATTACACTAGGTTTCATGGACAGTGACACCACTGATCTGTAATTACATGGGTTTTTCGGCCCCTTCCCCTAAAGATTGGCGAAGAGATGGTGGACTTCCATTCCTTTGGGGTTTGACTTACTCACAACGAGTACGTAAACAGGCTGCGTGTGGATATGCTTAGTACTTCGGCACAATTTGGCAAATCCATCGGCCACATGCTATCACGGCGTTTAAGTTTTCTTTATTCTGAGTGTGGGTAGTTTAGCAAACTTACAGTTTGGTGATACCTTTGTGTCCTTCAGATTTTCATGGCAGTCCCGTAACTCTGTTGTGTTTTGCGGACGTGGCCAATGGGAGAATTTCTGTGTTCATCTGCTTGTCAAATCTGTTCCTTAGACACCCTGGTGTCACCATATTGATGAAAGCTCCACCATTCGGTCACATGACAATGTTAAGACCTCTGCTCGTCGATATTTCATGTGGTATTCTTGGATTTTAACTTGGCTGTCTAGCTAGGTTACCCTGATACTTGAACTACTGGTTCCAAATTGCTGTTACATAGGTCGCACAACTGCATGTAGCTGAGAAAGTCCGACCCCACATAGGATGTGCGCCATCCTACTTCTCTGTATCTTTTTCCTCCGACCTCATTAACCTCATAAGAGTGTTACAAGGTGGACTTCTGCTTGCCTTCAAAATATCCTTCCCGGTAGCGCTCCAGA